GGGGAGTAGTAGTTCATCAAGAAGTGGAGGAAATACTAATCAAGGAACTGAAGAACAACATCAACTATATAGGCAATATAGGGGACAGGATGATTCAACGAGTGGTATTGGAGGTGGAACAAATCACCCAAACATTACATCAGTTTCTTCTTTTGAACCTACTTCTGTTCATGAATCTTCACATCCACAACCAATTTCAAATGAATTCCAAGACCAACAATCACTTGTTGGGGATAATCCCTTTTATTACCACTCAATGTATCCATCTGTTATACCTCTTGATGATTTCGACACTCTTGGATATGATTTGGGCCAATTTTCAACAATGCATCCATTCCAAACACCTTTGTCTCCACAAAGTTACAATCAAGAGTCAGTGACGAGAGATGAAGATAAGCCGGAAAATCCTTCTTCGAAGCCGACAAAAAGTAACGTATTTACTTCTTGTTATAATTAGTTGTATATCCATGTTAATTTAGCAAAAGACTTAAAATATAAAATTCGTCTGCTAAATTCCTTTTAATTATGGAGTTTCCAATCTTCTGAAATATAAGATTTTTGCTTATAGCATTAAGAACGATCCATACGAGGGAGAAAATATTTTTGAAATAGGCTTATCCCTATCTTACATTGATTTTAGAGGTGTCGGGATCTAAACTTTGAATAAAAATATGGGCCTATTTTTTCTTAATATCGATGAATATGTTTGCTCTAATTTTTGTAGATTTTTCCTAATAATAGAAACTCGAAAAACCAAAGTGCGCTATAATTTTGTGGAACCTTTAAAGGTTGGGGGGGGGGGGGGCTCTCGAGAGAATTGTTGTAAATACTAAATTTTTTAAAAACTTAATTTATTTAAAAATATTAATCTAAAACTTTAAAAATGTAATTATTTTAGGTCAATATGGATTATACAACAAATATATTTCTGAATTTAATATAAATTCAGAAATATTTAAAGTAATTGATGATGGAGATGATTGTTGCTATGTTAAATGTAAAGAATGTGATAAAATTGTTGTTAAGAAAAATTATGATGGTGTGGATTATCAGGCATATAGAATAATTACAAATCATTATAAAAATTATCATGGAGGGTATGAAAGTGAAGGTAATTTTATGCATAATTAAAATTTGATAGACATACTATATTTAGAAAATAGAAAAGTTTTGGAACTTTGGTTAGAACAACTTGACCAAAAAGATAATTTTACAATACAAGAAAATACAAATAGACTTATTTGTAATGTTTGTTCAGCTCCAGTAAATTTTTTAATAATTTAATAGAATATACATATTAAATTATGTTCATGCTGTGGAAAAACTCATTGGGTGGGAGATGGAATAGAACCATCATTAAATAAGCCCTGACCGAAGCACCTGTGCCTCCATCCAACCCGATGATAAGTTATTTTTAGGATTGTTGGCTATTCTTGAAATTTTTTGCCAAAACTTAACCGTTTTTAGAAAAGTTTAAAAACCGGAAATTGTGAAAATGAGTGATTTTATTAAAAATTCCCACAAAATAAAACCGGTATTTGCATAAATATACCTGTTAATAACCGGTCGCCAACACCCCAGTTATTTCTATTCATTTTTGTTCATTCTGCAAATGCGGATATATGTAGTAACAGAACAATATTTATACATATATTTAAGTTAAAGCCAACATTTAAATGTGTTATTACTCGACATCTAGCTACGCCCAAACATCTACAAAATATTACAAGTAATGTTTTATTTATATTTTTTGTTTTAATAATTAAATTAAAATAATTAGACTATGAAGAAATATTAAAATCAATGGAAAATTTATTTAACGAAAATAAGCAATATTTCAAATTTGAGGGTAAGAAAGCGAAATGTACATTATGCAATTTGACGGTTTTTAATATTGAATTTATTATTAGTTTTTAAAAATTTTAGCTTGCTCAAAACCGCAAATCTAAACTATTACTACACATTGCAAGTAAACAACATCAAAAAAATTTTGAAGAGGGTAGTCAATTAACTTAATATTTTTTAATCGCTAACTAAGGAATTAATTCTTAATTAGCAATTTTATAAAAATTTTACATAGCTAGAATTTGTACTATTACGACTGTAAAAGGTATAGGTAGCTATTTAAATTTTTAGGTTGTGGACGATCAAAAAATGCCTGGATCTGTACTTTGTATCCAGATCCAGACCGATCACTAGTCCGGTTTACTGAATACGCTGGTTCGCACCAAGTCACCAATTAACCTTTTGCACTAGTTGAAGGAGAGAAATAGATATAGCCCAATATCTACTTATATTTATTTCTAAAAAATATTCAAATTATCGTTTCCTACTGATAAAATTGAAATATAATTTAAAAATTTAAATTATTTTAATTAAGCTAACCACAGAAATATACAAAAACAAGAACAACAACCTCAAGGATTTTCTAGTACTTATTATCCTTCTGGTTATCCTCCACATCTCTATAATACATCTGAAGAAGGTAATGAAACCCCTTTAAAATTTTAAATAATTAATTTTTAAGAATATCAAAGACAATTGACTACTCAAAATATTCCACATAATTACTATCAAGGTAAAATAATTTAAAGCTTTTTAAATAAATTGTAAATTTAATTAAGATCCTTCTCAAAATCAAGAATATTCTACAATCCAGTCAAAAGGACAATCTTCGACACAATCAAAAGGCAAAGGAAAAGAAAAAAATGAAGATTTTGAAGAAAAAACTGGAAAAAGGGCATAAATTTTTAGTTTATAATTTAACTATTTAAAAATTATTTTATCACCCATAATTTTTTTATTTTTGGCGAAAATCATTTCCTTTTGTAGGGGGAGGGCTTTTATTTTATAACTAAAGATTGGTAAAAACTGTAAATTTTAACAATTTTATATCATTAACTTTAATCATTTCCATTTATGTTTAAATTTTCTAATTTTATTTTGTAATTTTTTTAAATTCAAAAATTTTCAAACAAAATTCTTTTTATTTAAACCATTAATTTTATTCATGATTTTATTTGTTTTTAATTAATTGAATTTTATTTAAATTTAATTAATTAAACTATGATATTTTTTAATTTCTTGAAAAAATATAAAATATTTTAATTGAAATTTTTAATTAACTGGCTAAACTATTTATTAAAACAATTAATTTTTAAATAATATCAACTTTCATTATGCAGGGAATATAAACACATTCCATTTATTCAAATATAATCCTACATAATCACAAGTTTATCCACAATTATAAATAAAAGTAAAACAATTCCAAAGACATTTGGAATAAATTTTTAAAATGTTGTAGAATTAATACACAAAAAACTAGAAAGCCACATCCAAATTTCAGTTCGAAAAACCCAAAAAATAGGGGGTGCTACATAAATATATCAGAAATAACCTTTAAAAAATTTTTTAATCTTTCTTTATCTTTTTCTGTTTAATTTTTAATTTCACATTTTTCTGCTTGATTTTTGTTTTTTGGATAAACATTAATTCGTTGCTGACAAAATGGGCATGTTCTTATGCGCTGAAAATAATTTAGAATTTATTTAATTGAAATAAATTGATTTTAATCAAAATTTAAATTAATTTACTATAGGTTCGTCGTCATCATCTATTTCGGTGCCATCAACAGTATCATGAATTTTTTTATCGAACCTATTTTAATTATATAGAAATAATTTATAAAAAATAGTAATTATGTAGTTAAGGGAGACAAATCCATCTTAGAGAAAGGCAAATGAATGGGATAAAACTAGACCTAAAAGTCTCCGAAACACGGTTATTGCTATTACCCATTCCAACATCCACTTCCCAACATCTCCACCTACATATTCATGACTTTTATTTGAATAGCACCCCGATCTGGAGCATGGGTGTCGGGTTTCGGAGTTGCCGGTGTAGAGTCTTCAGGTCTGGGTTTTTGCCAAAAAATAGTCGGGGGTCGGGGTTTTGGGGGACGGGTCTCCCTAATTTTTATTGTTGCTTTATCAATTAAATTGTCGTCTCTACTATATTATTATTCTAAAATTCTTCAGATATCTCTGGTTCTATCTAAAGTACTTTTTTTTCTTTATCGAACACAAATAAATAAAATGTGAAACAATAAAATAAAAAACTCCTGGATCACAGGGATTACTTACGTAGATAGTAACTTATACAAATAAAATATGTGTTATAATAAGACAGTTTTTTAAATCTTACCAAGGTTCAATACAATTCTTGTGGAATACATGCTGAAAGGTTTTATTAATTAAAATCTTTAAATATATTTTGTTAAAATACTTTGCAATGAATTATTTGTATTAGATTCTCGCCGTTATGTAATTCATCGTAACAAATACTACATTCATTGTCATATTTATAATTTTCAAGAAATTTAACTTTAAAATTTTTTACAGCTTTAAATATATAAATTTATTTAATTTTAAAATAAAAATATTTTTACATATTGGAAATTTTTTGTAAAATAATTGGGCTGGATTGAAACGATTGTATAAATTATCAAAAGTTACAAATTTGCTAGAAGAATCTGTAGCAATTTTCACGACGCTAAGAAATTTTAAAAATTATTTACATAAAAAGTTTATAATTTAGAATTATTGGAATTTAAATAATTAATCTTCTTTTTTTAACAATATCCTTCCTTACCTTTTTTAGCTTTACTAATTAAAATTTAATTAATTAAAAATCAATTCTATATATTAAGAAAGAGAAAGAGAGGGGTATATGAAGAAATCAATGTCTCGTAAATTCTGACAGCCTTGAGATGGAGTTATGAAAGGGAGGAAAGGCTTTTTCTCCCCTATGCGTTTTCAATATTCAGGTGCCCGTATCTCGGTCCAATGTTGGCGGTCCCGGATATCAGAAACCGAAAAAGATCGGATAATCGAAAATTCCTAAATATGTAGGAAGCAATCTGAACCTTTGGCTTTCCAAAATTCCCAAAATTTCCACCTAAGACACTGATAAAGGAAGAAAGTTGTGTTTACAACTTAAAAATATTGAGCGATTTGGAAATATATTGAGTAATTAAGGGGTCAAGAGGGGTTGAGGAATATCGGTGGATTCGCAGTATAGAAGTAAGGATGTGGATCTGTAGGGTTAAGTCATGAAAGAACAATTAAGTTGTAGCAGGATTAAGGTGAATATATAGACAATATCCTTCCTTCCTTGCCTTTTTTTAGTTTTTAAAATTTTATTGCATTTTTCTAAATCTTCAATAAATTCTTCATTTATCTGATTTTCTTTAAGCATTCCCCTCTTCCATCTAGAAAACATAACAAGAGATTCTTCTCCAAAACAAATTTTGTAATTATTTCGAATTGCTTCAAAATCATCTTCAATTAAATCATCTACTGGTTTTCCACCCATATAAGCCGGTCCAAAATGTTTAAACAAAAAATTAGCCAAACAAAAAGATTGCTCTTCTATAGAAAATTAATTTTTTTATTTTTAAAATTAAAAAATTACCCAATTTTTTCTGATAATTTTCAGATAAAATTAAATATTTATTTTTTATTTTATCAAAAATATTTTTAACTTCCAAAACATTTTCTCTTTGATCAACCAATTTTTTATTTTTTCTAAAACAATTTTTTGTGTATTTAGCCCCCATAATTTTTCCCATTTCTTTTCTATTAATTTTAATTTCTTTCGAAATATTTTCTGAAATTCCTCGTTGAATTTTCCATTCTCCGTTTATCTTTTCGGCAAAAATTTCTGTCTGAAGATTTTTTCCAATCAAAAGATAATCGGCAACACAATTAATTTGTTTAGAAAACAATGAAGAATCACAACAAATTAATTTTTTAAAAATAAAAATTAGCAAAAACAGGTAAATTAACTTCATTTTTTTAAAATTTAAAATGAATGTTAGACTTTGCCGAGAGAAAAAAATTTCTTAATGCCTTATTGGCTGGCATTGATTAATCGACTAATGATTTTTAAATTTTTTTATTAAAGTGAAAGGGCTTATTGAATTTAATTTTTTTATTAATTTTAAATAATATTTAAATTAAATGTTTATTTAATTAAACATAAAATGAAGGACAAAAATATAGAGGCAAGTCTTGTAACAAAGTATACCCTGTCAAAAAATATACCTATCAATTAACATAAAACTTGAACCTTCAAAAACCTTTGAACAGGTAAAAAAGCCTTTTAAAAAGATATAGAATTTTTTCCATTTGTATGTTTTTGTAAATTTGCGGTTCTATCTAAATTTCTCATTTATTCACTGAAATCTTGGCTGAGGGTTACCTTATTTTATATTTAACTCAAATGATACACAAAGATAAATTTATCAACAAGTTAAAAGCTAGTTTAGTTAAATATGGTGTAATAATAAATAAATACAAACGGATTTATAAAAGGAGGGTGGGAATTGAGAAAAATTATAGATATGTTTTAAAGGAAAGGTTTAAAAATAAATAGTGAAGAGTTTTTTGGAAACTTTTTTGGAAAATGTTTTGATAATCGCTTAAGAACGGATCATTATAAGACAACTAATATGCTAATTAGGAAGCACAGTTTGTAATTGAGAACACCCTACGAGAGGATCGAAAAATAGACACCCACGTGCTTCAATTAAAGCATAAAACCTTCTTTAAAAAAGGAAGGCTTAAAAACAAAAATTGAAAAGTTAACAATCAGTAAATATAAAAATATTTAAAAAATACCCTTAAATATAAGATAATAAATGTAAAATGTTTATCACTTAAATTGACTAAAAATATCAGCTAGTTTCGTTGTATAATTTTTAAAACAAATGTAGTAAATTCGGCAAATTCAATGAAATCTCCAATAATTTGAGATTATTTTAAAAATTAGTTTATAATTTTGCTAATTATAAATCTTTTTTGTGAAAATTACCAGGTAAAAAATTAAAAAATAACCCTTACATTTTTTAAATTTTAGAACTTTAAAAATCTAATTGAAATTCTAAAATATTTACAAAATATGTATTTACAACTCCACAAAACTTTTCTTACTTTATGAACTGCTTGTTCCTTCAATTTTTATTTCTTTACGACAAATTGGACACATTTTTCGCTTTTAAATAAATTTATTATTTAAATATTTTATTTAAATTTATTAATATAAAAAATACTTCAATCAACCCAATCTCATTTTCATGTTTAGTATAAAACCTTTCATTAAATTAATTTATATTAAATACAAAATTAATATTTTATTACCAATTTATAATGCAAAGCTCATGAAATTCATGCTAAAATAATTTAAAAGTTGGAAAATGAATCGGAAAAAATAAATATGTAATAACAAGGATTGGGCAGGATCAGATAAAAATATTTGTATTTTCATAAAAAAATACTAAAATATTTTTATTTTAAATTTTTACAAACTTTGCATGATAATCTCCGTTTAAAAGTTCCAATTTCAAATTTTTCAAGACAAATACTACATTCAACATCTTCTGTCTCTACTTTTATATTCTTAGCTGTAATTTAAAAAAAACTTTTATTATCAAAATTAATTTAAAATACTTACAATCCACAATTTTAGGTATTTTTAAAAATAAATTATCCGACGACAAATGTTTATATATTTTAAAAAAAATATTTTTATCACTGAAATTTTGAAAATTTTTTCTTTCTAAAAAATTAAAATGCTTGCTTTGTTTTTACATCAAGAATTTCATTACATTTATTTAATTCTTTATATTCTTTTGTATTTTTCTTAAAATTCATTTTCAAATCACAAAATTCCTTTTTAAAATATATCCATTTATAAATTTTATCATTCTCTCCAAATTTATAATAATTAAATATATATTCTTCTAGTAAATAATCTTTGTTATATCCAACTATTTTAAGGAGAAAAATTGTCAAACAAGAAGCTTGTTTTTTAAAATTGGGTAAATTTAATTTTTAATTAAAATATTTACCCAATTTCATTTGATAAATTTTTGATAAAATTAAATCTTTATTTTCCGTTTTAATTAAAAATTTTCCAAAAACATTTTTCCGAATCAATCCATTATTTTTAAAACATTCATTTGTGTATTTAGCTCCCATAATTTTTTTCATTTCATTTTTATTTACTTTAATATTTTTAGCGAACATTTTCGAAATCCCTTGCTGAATTTTCCATTCATCCTCGATTTTTTGAACAATAGGTTTTGTTTTGATATTCTTAGAAAGCAAAAGATAATCGGCAACACAATTAAATTGATCTAGGAAAAAGTTACATATTTTGGATATTTTAATAGAGTTAAATTTAGACAAAATTAAGGACAATTTTTAATTCGAAAATGGGTAAAACTTGATTTAAGGGCCCAGACTCCTATTTAGTTCATATATGTCATTCAAAGAGCTCTCAGTGCTGAAACAAGCACTGAGGGGGATCTTAAACATTGGGGGCTTATAACTCGGTCCACAGTACCATTAAGCAAAGATGGTTCAAATTTCACAACTAAAGTAGGGTATAATCTACCCGTCTACAAATTCCATCCCGAAGTCCCACGGACACCTCTCTCCTTTGTCAACGCTCAGACCAGAATCCCTCAAAGCAAGTTTTTCCTAAAAATATTTAATTATCCTCACCAAAATCTTGATATTCATCCGATAAAATTAAATATTCTTTCTTAATATTTTTAACAAGATATTCAACAACTAAAACTTTTTTAAAAGTATTTTCGTCTTCTTCTACTACAATAACAAATTCTTTGTTTTCTTCAAAACAAAAATTATTTCCTTCATAAGATTCTCTCATTTTATTTTCTTCAATTTCGAAACTTTTGACCAAATTTTTTGGAATTCCTCTAATAACTTTCACTTCTTTACCGATTTTTTCAATAAAATTTTCTGTCGGAAGATTTTTTCCAATCAAAAGATAATCGGCAACACAATTAATTTGTTTAGAAGATAACTCAGAATTACAATAAATTAATTTTTTAAAAATAAAAATTAGCAGAAAAAGGTAAATTAACTTCATTTTTTTAAATTTAAAATGAATGTTAGTTGCCGAGAGAAAAATTTACAGTGAATCAATTATTGGCAAAAAAATTTTCTGAATGCTTTATTGGCATTAACGATTGTTAAAGCAATTGAATTATCGAATTTAATTTTTTTATTGATTTTAAATTTTGCATAAATATTTAAAATTAAACATTTATTTAAACATTAATTAATCCTTTACCAATTAACATAAACTTAAACAGCCAAAAAGGTTTAAAAAGATAAAAAAAGCCTTTTAAAACAAAGACAAAATCTCTTGCTATTTAATAAATTCTTCATTAATAAAACTAAAAATTTTTGTTTAAATTTTACATTTAAAAGGAAGTAAATAAAGAGGAGTTTTAGAAAAATGATATATGTATTTAATAAATTTTCAATATTTATTTAAATAAAGGACAATTCGAACTTTTAATTAAATCTCTTAAAAAAGTGAAATATCATCAAATTAAAATTATTTGGATAAATATAAGGTTGAATACAAACGAGTTATAGTAAAATATTGGGAATTGAGTAAAAATTAGAAAATAAATTGGGGAATATTTGAAAGTAAATTTTTGAATTTAATATACCGTATTTCCTAAAATAATACTCCCCCCTGAATTAGTACTCCCCCCTTAAATAATACTCCCCTTCGGAGGAGGGTTGAAAAATAGTACTCCCCCCTTAAATAGTACTCCCCTAAAATAGTACTCCCCCCTAAAATATTTTTTTCCTATATTTAAAAAAAATATAGTAGACTCAATGAATTATTTTATTGAAATTTATTTATTTATTTTATTTATTCTACATAAGTAGGTTGTCGGTTTCACTTGATTCTTCGATAACCGAAACCGAACAAGTTTCGGTTACCGAAAACGAACCGAAATTTTAACCTAAAATTTGTCGACGATTAAAGAGATATATTGTGATTAGTTGGTGGGATAAAAGTGGATTTGAGGATATAAGTGATTATATCGGGTGATAAAATGTGTTCTGGATTGATAAGTGGGGTCTAAAAAATATCATTGCATTATGGTTTCATAAACGAATTTGAGGGAATAATGAAGGATGAGTCATATTAGGCGATTTTGGTTGATTAAGAGTGATAAAGATATGAAATTTAATAATAAATCCTCCTTAATCCACAGATATTTTTTCGTTACCTCTAATCAAAAATACCCAGACATCCAAACACTGATATCCAACTTATCTCATTTGATCCCTGGTGCCCAAATATGGATATCATATAATTCGTAGGGATATTGGAAGAACAAAAGGAATATGAAAGATATCGGTGATTAATGCTGATAAATCCTTAGACACAGAGATTAGGACATCTCTAGACACAGGATTACACTAGACACAGGTAATCACTATACACAGGAGATTAGGTAATCTCCTGATAAATCCCCTTGAATGATGTCTAGGGGATTTTACGCATATCAAGTGTATAAATGTGTTCGGGAGTTCAAGATGGACGTAGAGTGTAAATTTAGATATCTAGTCTTAATCGCTTAAATCCCTTTATATCCCTCGATATCACTCCAAATCCACTAATCGAATCAAATCTTCCTGATCCGGCATTTTTAAATAACAATCTCTAATTCTAACATTTAGAATTTTAAAATAAATTTTCCTATAATAAATCATGGAGGAGGGTTGAAAAATAGTACTCCCCCCTCAATTAGTACTCCCCCCTTAAATAGTACTCCCCTTTGGAGGAGGGTTGAAAAATAGTACTCCCGGGAGTACTATTTTAGGAAATACGGTATGTATTTTAGATAAAATAAAAAAAATATTGCTAGCGATTAAAAAAAGTTTACAATCAGTAAAAAAGAGTAGAAGAAACTAGTGATCTAGAATTTCGTATCGTACGGAATCCCGATAAATG